ACAACCTTTAGTCTCGGCTTTAGGAAAATATCACATTTATCTGTGGATTGTCCAAGGCTCCAGTGTATTAATTTAATATATATACCTGAATATTAATATGAAAGCAATTTGCCATTAACTGCCAGTGGCCTCATTTATTACACTCGGCCCCAGAGGGCCTCGAACCTCTGACCAGTCTTACACGGTCTGCAACATGTCAGAATAGTCATGACGTGTGGGATGAAGAGTGCGCTGGACAGCGCCGATGGCAGACTAGACACTGATGAAGAAAGGGCTGGGGAACTTGGAGGCCCAGAGAAAAGGACAAGTGAACACACCATCAGTGAATTAAAGCAGTGGAGCGTAGCTACAGGAAACGGCAGCACAAAAATATTTGAAGAAATACTGGGCGTGGGTGTGGATATGTGGGTGCCTGGATGTGTGCGCATGTGGGTGTGAGGGTGTGTTGATGTGCAAGTGTGGGTGTGTGGATATGTAGGTGTGTGGGGGTGCAGTTTTATTAGTGTATGGGTGGAGGGGCGGGTGTACAGGCATACGGCTGTGTGGAGATGTGGGCGTGGGCTGTGCAGAGGTGTGTGGTTGTGTGGATTTGTGGGTGTCGGGCATGTGGCTGTTCACACAAGAGTGGGGAGCCCTGAAAATTTGGCACCTGGGAAACTGCACAGATTGTCTCTTATTTCATTTTCTAAGTCTTTATTAAAACACAGTGGATTCTTTAAATAAAATAATTAACAATGAAGTTCAGGGCTGTAACATATGTAGAAATAAATCTATCAGAACATAACTTAAAAGTTAGGAGGGAGAAACCAGCACACAGTAAAGGACGTTCTACTCTACACGAAGTGGATGAGTGTGATGAACTGGAGATGTACGCATGCGGCGCCAAGGCACCGAACAACAACAAGGTGGCCATCAAATTCCCAGACGTAAGCCAGGGAAGGCTAGAAAATGAAATCATGAAAATGTGGACGTGCTTTTGCAAATGGATAATGAGCAGAGGCTGAAAGAGGCTGACAAAGCTGCTGAATAGTCAAATCCGAGATTGCCTACAAAAGACTGTTGGTGGACTTACAGACATCAAAGGCGAGGAGAGCCGCCACACGGGAGACAGCACAGATGGTGAGACACAGCGGCAGAGAAACTGCAGCAAAAGAACCAGCAGCCCACCATAAGATGGCACAGAAGCCCACTGCGGAGCTGGAGAGCTGAGCGCCTCTGTGGGGGAGGTTAACGGAGGGGTCTAGGAACCTGTTGAAGGAATTAGGCTTTCTGACCCACGGAGTGGAGCCGTGTGCCTCCGGACACTTACGAGTACAGCTAAAGAGCTCTGTGACACAAGCCCAAGAAGAGCAGAGGCCAAGCTGTCCTCTTCTGGTGGTGGTGGTGCGCCGTGGAGTTGGTTCCCATTCATGGTGATGCTATATAGGGTTTCTGAGGCTGTAAATCTTTACGGGAGCAGAAAGTATCATCTTTCTCCCACGGAGTGGCTGGTAGTTTTGAACTACTGACATTGAGGTTAGCAGCCCGACTTGTAACCACTACACTCCCAGAAGAAACCAGGAAGCAGAAGAGACAAGGAGCACAGGAAACAGGTACCTCAGTCTCAACAGGTAGGACACTGGCCTCCAGACTCTCGAAAGATGGAACCACAACCTCTGGGGTTACGGTTCTTCTCCACCAACTTGGTGCTTTAGTGTGGGACTGTGTTAAGAAATGGGGACTCTGCCCAAAGCTGAGGGGCAGGAGAATAGGGCTTGTCAGGGCCCAGGGAGTGGCATCATCACTCAGACAGGTGAGGATAATGGGGCCGCCCCAAGTGCAGGAGGCAGAGTGGCCATTCCAGTGAGCCTGGAAGGCAGAGCTGACACCTAGGGCTGGCATGCCTCCATCCGGAGCCCAGAGTCTGGGGTCTCTCGGAGAGCAGAGGGTTCTGTTCCAGCTTGGCTGGGTTTTAGCTTGCTTGGTGCCCTTACTCCTCCTTTCCCCCAGAGGCTCCGATTTGTACTGGAATGTCTATCTTGGGCCTATTTGAAGCAGGGAACTTATAGTCTGGGTTGACTGTGGACATAGAAGAATTTGGGGCTATCATAATGAGGTTAATGTAACCTGGGTCACACATATGCTACTTAATCCATGCTGGGTACAAGTAGGGGTTTATAATTGTCGTTATTTAGGGTTTATGTGTGATTTAAGGAGCTGTGTGCAGGTGCCAAGTTGACAAGGGTGGGGGGACAATGATATTACAGTTTTGTGTCAACCACACAGAATTCACAGACAGTATTCATAGCAGTGTATGATCTAAAGCCAGTGGCACAGAAGGAAGAAGTCCAAGGTGCCCTGAAGGTATTGGCTAAGAGCAAGGTTCCAGGAATTGATGGACTACAAATCGAAATCTTCCAGCAAACTGAGGTGGCACTGGAGGCACTCACTCATCTATGCCTGAAATTTGGAAGACAGCTACCTGGCAACTAATTGAAAGAGATCCGCTCATTCCAAAGAGGGGTGACCCAGTGGAATGTCTAAATCATTGGACGATATCATTGATATCGCAAGCAAGTGAAACTTTGCTAAAGATGATTTTAAAACAGCTGCTACAGTGCATTAACATAGAACTGCCAGAGGTCCAAGCTGGAGTCAGATGAGGCTGTGGAATGAGGGATGTAATTGCTGAGGTCAGATGAATCTTGCATGAAAGCAGAGAACACCAGAAAGATGTTTACCTGTACTTTGGATCATGACAAGCTATGGACAACATTGTGAAGTATTAGTATTCCGGAACACTTACTTGTATTCATGAGGCACATAGACCAAGAAGCAGTTCAAACAGATCAAAGGAATGCTGAATGGCTTAAAATTAGGGAAGGTGTGCACCAGGATTGTATTCTTTTACCATACTAATTTAATCTGTACACTGAACAAATAGTTTGAGACACTAGATTATACAAAGCAAAACATGGCATCAAAGGTTGGAGGAAGACTCATTAACCGCCTGAGATATGGAGATGATACAACCTTGCTTGCTGAAAGGAAAGAGGACTTGAAATACTTACTGATGAAGAGCAAAGACCACAACCTTTGGCATGGGTTGCACCTCAGTGTAAAGAAAACAAAGATCCTCACCACTGGACCAATAAATAGCATCAAGACAAATGGAGAAAAGATGGAAGTTGTCAAA